CCTGATATTCAAGGTCTGGTACAAACACACACACACACACACACACACACACACACACACACACACACACACAATCTTTAGTGTTACAGTAAAACCATATCAGCATTAACAATTGCCCTCTGCGAAAGGCCCAGCCACAGAGCTGAGGGTGCTCTCCTCTTTCTGACTAGTTATCTTGTTTTACAGTCAAATGTAATTCCTTTCCCAATGGGAGAAACAATCTGTTTACAAGATCAAAATACATCTTTGTTGTCTGCTTGTAGGAAATCTAGATTAAAGAAGAACACAAAGACCTATACCAAAGCAGGAGTTGATCTATGCGACATGAGGTACTCAACTGATTTTAACTAAATTCACAAGGCGTGTTGTCCAAGGTGTTGTAGAGAAATGCGTGGTTGATCCATTCCATGAAATAATCATTGGTGTTAGCAACTGTGCAGAAATTCTAACACAGAATTTTGTCTTTTCAATGAGCTTTATTCTAGTGAGTCTGCTTTACAATAGAAGCCAGTCCTAATAAACCAATGAGACAATGGGCTGATGGATGACTACACTGCTCACCACAGTGTTTCTGGTTTGTTCTCCGGAACATCCCAATTCAAATCATATGAGATCCAGCCATATCTGAAGGATCAGAGACCAAAATCTCTATTTTAATAAGATTGTCTAGAAATATATTGAGCTAGCCAAGCCTCTCAATGGTACAATCATATAATCAGGGATCTTAAATAGAATATAGATATGAATCCACTTAGATATAAATTACCTAGAACTTAGACTTGTGTTTGTACAGAGTATAGACCATGAATTTAAAATTATTAATGTATGTAGATCAATGAGTATAGACTACTATTTTTAAATTCTTCTTCTTCTTTTTTTATTATCAGTCATAGGGCTTGAACTCTGGGCCTGGGTGCTGTCCCTCAGCTCTTCAGCTCAAGGCAAACACTCTATCACATGAGCCACAGTGCCACTTCCTGTTTTCTGGTAGTTAATTGGGGTTAAGAGTTTCAGGGACTTTCCTGTTTGGGCTGGCTTTGAACTGCAATCCTTAGATCTCAGCCTCCTGAATAGCTAATATTACAGGCCTGAGCACCAGTGCCCAGCTACTTTTAAATTCTTAATGTATGTAACTGAATAAGTTTATGAAATGGTAGATTCCTGAGACCTCACCCAAAGGAGCTAGCTTGAAGCCAGATTTTCTGCATTTTAATCATATACTGTGTTATTCTCATATGGATGTTCACAATTTACCTCACATGCAGCCTAGGGATATTCTGGAAAACACTGTTGCTGTCAAATGGCCACAGTCTCTGAGAAGGCAAATTATCTATTAGAGATAAACTATAAGATCAGTTTGTGTGTGTGTGTGTGTGTGTGAGTACTCATGTGCAAGTACTGGGAATTATATTCAGGGCCTCATTCTCACTTGGCTCTCTTGCTTACAGATGGCACTCTACCACATGAGCCATGCTTCCAGCCCAGCATTTTTGTAGTTAATTGGAGATGGAGTCTTGGGGACTTTTCTGCCTAGGCTGTCTTCAAACTTCATAAGTTTTTCAGGTCTCAGCCTCCTGCATAGCTAGGATTATAGGCTTGAGCTACTGGCACCAATATGCATTTCCACTGGGTTAATATGAAGTTTCTTCTAATCTATCTGCCTACTTCTTTGAATTAGAACTATACAGAAGATATTAGTTCCCAATATTATCTATTATCTCTCTCTCACACATATCTAGCTACTTACTTAGCTACTTAGCGCTGGTACTGGGACTTGAACTCAGGGCCTGGACATTGTCTCTTTTGATGTCCCATAGGGTTTTCACTCAAGGCTGGCACTATATCACTTGAGCCACAGCCACACTTCCAGCTTTTGCATGGTTGGTTGGAGATAACAGTCTCTTGGACTTTACAGTTGGGCTTTGAACCATGATCCTCAGACCTCAGCCTCCTGAGTAGCTACCAGGGTCCAGCTCAATATTATTTTTAAAGAAATGTGTCCATCAAGAAAATAACTGCCTCTGTTCCATCTCTCCGTAGGGGGTGGGTCAGTGAGCACGCAGGAGCCTGGCTGGCTGCAGAACAGCAATGCTTGGAAAATGAAACACCAAGGAGGAAAACCTCAAATGTCCACACCACACATAACCAAAATAAAACAAAACTCTCACAGACCGAACTGCCTTGGATAGGAGTGAGACAATGGGACCAAAGGCCTGGAAGGGATGTGGTGAGGTTGACATCTTTGTGCCAGCAAGCAGTGAGAACCCCTCCTTCTCCCAGCTTCTGGCTCATCCTTGTCCTGCTGTGTTTCCAGGCCATTCAGGGGGCTGCTTCTTAGTTGTGCTAATGTTATATATTAGGAGAAAAGAGAAAGGTGACTGGGTAAAAGAACATGGGTATGTTTCCAGCCATCTCACTGGGGCTTCCCCAAACCTAATTCATCCCATTTGTTCTGATTTTTGGAGAACAATATCAACAAAAACCCAAAGAACTATTTTATTCATTGACTTGAAAAGAAATTAATTACTAACAATATTTTAAAGGGCAACAGGAAGCCTGGTATTGGTGGCTCACACCTGTAATCCTAGCTATTCAGGAGGCTGTGATCTGAGGAGCTCAGCTCAAAGTTAGCCCAGAGAGGAACGTGTGTGAAACGCTTTTCTCCAATTAGCTAGCAAAAGAAACAGAAATAGAGCTGTGGCTCAGGTGTTAGAGCATCAGCCTTGAGTGAAAAAGCACAGTGACAGCACATGAGCCCTAAGTTTAAGCCCTAGTACTGGAACACACACACACACACACACACACACACAGAGGCATCAGCAATAGATTTAGAGATGATTTTTTCCAAGGAAAAGTACCCAAACTGACAAAGTGACCATTGGGGTACTGGGTTTGTTATTTAAAATAATGTGACTGAGAAAGTTAAAAAAAGAAAAGAAAAATCTGTGTTCCAATTATGTATGTGTAAGACAGGATAATAATAAGGACAAGTAACTGCCTTCACTGTTTATGTGAGACAGCACACCATGCTCCAACTCCTAGATAACTGTTAGGACATAGAACTCAAAGAATAGAATGTCTGTGATTATTGTCAGCACTTGCAATAATAGTGCTAGTGAGCTTTGCGGTATTCATAAGGAAACCCCAATAATTTCTTCATGAGCAGTACTTAAAATGATTACATAGGCAGGATAAGGGAAAGCGGAACATGAACCCATACAAGTGGACATTTGAAATCTAGAATGTATTTTGCATCCGTGTTCCTTAAGGAGAGCCTGAATTGTGGAGTTGTAGGAGTAAATGACCTTGAGTTTTGTGACCTGCCTCATCTGCTTCGTCTAAGAAACTTTCATTTTTTTCCTGCTGCTCTAGCTAGGTTCAAAGCACATGACTCACACAACATCAAACACTCGAGTTTGTTTAGATATTTTTAATGGTGCAATCCTCAGAATCTTTTTTTTCCCCTTCTTTGTGGCAAGACAGAACAGAAGGACTCCAGAAGGTGAGCTCAATATGTCTTCTAGGAATATCTGGAATGTTCTGGCCCTAAATATTCTTAAACATTTAAAGTATACCTTAAGTGAAGGCCTTTAAAGGATTGCCTAACTCTGCATCCAAATGGTGCAGGTTGATGGATAGGAAATGTAGGGAGGATTCTGGGATCTAGCCTAGGTCAGCAGTTTGGCTGTGGAAACTGTGACTTTCTGCCACATGGGAATAATAACTGCTCTACATAACTTACAGCTTTGTGGGAAGCTTTAAAGCCAAAGGTCAGGGGCGGACCCAGGGTCACTTCTGGGGCAGTCACAGCTCTGAAATCCTGGCTCCATTTGGAAGTGATTGCTGGTCTGCAGCTTCTCCTCAAAGAAAAACAAATTGGCAATTGACTTCTTCATTTGGAGTCTCCCATGTCACAGTGGAGATGGTGATCGCATAGGCCACAGACTAATTGTGGGTTTCTGACTCACAGAATAAGGTACAGAGGGGAGACATTCATGCTAAAATGGCGGGGGGGCTGCTGTAATTCAGGTTGTGAATGTGAGTCAGCGGTGGTTAAGCACACTCTCTCCACTGCAAAACCTGTGCATTGTCATTTAGTACATATTTTTATTTCATTAATAAAATATAACCTCATTTTGCTTTTGTAATCTGGGAATGTGAAGATACATATTTTTTTCTTTTGCAAACTGCAACTGCATGCAGATAAAAGGGGGATTCCTTTTGAAACTACATCTTCTTAATAATAAATATTTTTCTGATCTACTATACATAACCGTAGTGCATTTCTTGTTAAAACAGCAAGCTTATTATTTTATACCAAAAGGAAAAGAAAACATCCATTTCTTTATAAATAGTTTAAATAGTTTAAATACATATCTCATACCAAGGATATAAAAATATTCTTCTTTTGATAAATAAAGACATTTTCATTTACATGGCAAATAACGTGTGAATAGCTAACCACTGGCCACCAGCTCTATTTTGACTGATTGTCTAGATGACATGCAGAGGTAATTGTCCCCTGGCCTTCACTAAAAGAAAAATAGATCAGCAGGAGTTGTGCGGTCCTGAGGCCAATAGTGCTATGGATATTGTTCAGGAATGACAAATAGGCACTCAGGAAAGACCTTTGCTTCAGTTCACAAAAGCCACCTAGGACAAAACTAATCCACAGGTTCTTTGTCTGGGAGTTCTAGCTGCTCAGACCTTCAGGGTTTTTGGATTTTTTTTTTTTTTTTTACCAAAGTCTGTCAAACAGACTAGTAAGTTGATACCTATACAGATAAGAGATGTTTGCATGATGCTTCTAGGATCTAGAAATTGTTTGCTGCAGTATGGAGGCGGCTCTTGCCTTTTGTTGGTTCCCTCCTCATGGCTCTCTTCTGCAGGATTTCCAATTGGACTAGTTGTCATGCTCCCCTCCCCGAGATAAAAAGGCAAACTAAAGCTGTCATGCAGAGGTGGTTGTGGCATTGGCAGCTGCGTGGCAGGGGGTGGTATCATACATCTATGGCTTTGTTGTCTGTGGTTTCTGCTGTGCTTGTGACAACTTCCAGGGGAAAGTTCTCCAAGGGTTTGCTGGAGACGGATGCCATGCCTTCTTGATCCCAAGAACCCGGCAAGTTTTCCAGACTGAAAGAAGTTACAGGTCCATGACTGAAGCTGCCCTCCTCTGATCTGCTTGGGAGAACCAGGTGCAAGGACGTTTCAGAAGAAGAACAGAGAGAGGATGAGAGAGTGGCTGAAATGGACTGCAAAGGCGTCAGGGTCATATCTGAATGCGGGGAGATGCACCTTAAAAATTGCAGATGACCTTCTTGGACAACCTGGTAGTGGGAAGGTGAATAATCAAGGTTTGGAGAATGAAGAAGTTCACTCCCCACAGGGCTAGGCTCATGAGCTTCAGTTCGTGGAGGGCTACCCCCGACAAAGGAAGGATTCACATTCCAGATGTCGGGAGCCACATTACCTCGACAAAGTTGTGCTTGAGTGTAAGCAGCCCCACCTGTCTGCAAGTGGAGGCAAGGTTGGTGTGTGCTCCAACTTATTCTGGTCTGTAAGCTCTCTTGGGAGGGGCACACAGATGTAGAATGCAGGGAGCAGAACTGTGTGGATTGCTGAGGTGATAGGACGTTTTCCAGAAGTTGCATCACATTCCTCATGTCTCGACCCAATTGGGAGACCTCCTGTGTCAGAGTTGTTACCTGTGTGGAAAACAAAACAACACAAAACAAAAGCAAAAGGTGATTATGAGAAATTCACAGTATGTTCAGATTTTGGAGCAGTGGAGCTGGGAGATGAGCTGTTTTAATAGGAAGGCCTGGCTGGGCATTGCTGGCTCACGCCTGTATCTTCATTGCCCAGAAGGCTGAGATGTGAGGATTGTGGTTTAAAAGCACCCCAGGCAGAAAAGGCCATGAGATGCTTATATCCAATTAACCAGCAAAATACAGGAAGTGGAGCTGTGGCTTGAGTGGTAGAGGGCCAGCGTACAGGAAGTGAAAGAGGGCCAACTTTGAGTGTAAAAGCTATGGGAGTATGTCCTGGCTCTGAGTTCAAGTCCCAGTTCTGAAGCATCACACACACACACATACACACAGACACACACACACACACATACACACACACACACAGAAAGAAGGCCTGGAGGGTCTGCTTCCATTCCAAATGCAACCAAGCCCAGGCAATGAGTGAGTGGATGGGTCATGTAGGTGAATATACATCCAGCTCTAAAGCCATGGTCATTCTGAAGGAGCCTAGAGAGTCATATGCAAGCTATAGATCTTAATTAGTGTATTTCTGGACTTATTGGAGAGAATTAGCCATGTTTATCATCTCTTAAGCACCACTGGTGTCTTTGGCTTCCTCAGAGTGAATGGGATGCAAAACAGTGCACAGGAAGCTACATGTGCTTCACCACAAGGTGAATGGAATACGAAGCACATGGCATGCAGGGCCACATGCCCAGAGTGAGCCCTAAGTAGATGGTAGCCCGCTGTCTTGCTGTTTCACATCTGAGAGTCATGCTATCATGGAGTCCAGAGATAGAAGGAATTTTTCCTTCTGTGGTGATAGAGCTGGTAAGTAAGAACTCACATAGGATTTACTAGAGAGTTTGGGGGAAAAGAGAAATCTATAAAATACATTCAAGAGAAAGAAACAGGCTGGCAGTGCTTGTATAGAGATAATCACTGTGGGTACCCAGGACCCCTGAGATCTAAGCAAGGAATTCGGAGACCCACGAAATTACAACTCAAAGGGTGTGTATGCGCTCCGACAGATTTTCTAGGGGAGATTTTTAGCTTTCTTTATCATGTCCTCAAAGTAGACATAGCTCCTAAATACTTAAACCTTCATTTGTTCAATTTACACTTAAAACCAATAATAAAATTCCTCAGAGGAGGTATTTTTTTCGAATAAACTCATCGGTTACCATCCCCATGGAATTTAACTCAGAACCTCCTTTTCTGAAGTAGTTGCTTCTCAAAAGGAGAAAAACTTAGATTTCAGCAAACAGGAAGCACACATGTGCTTGCAGTTAGCTTTACAGAACTAAGACATATTGTTGTAAGATCTTGCTTTCTTTGATTTAAGTTTACTATCATAAACCACAGAACTTGAATAGAAGCAGCTGGATGCTTTAGCTAATGATCATCTGGACCAAAGAAGGGGGGAATTTCATCTTCAATGAGGCCAAAACCAAGATTGCTGTTTTGGGTAGACATTCTTCAACATTTACATACACATTCCTAATTCATGTAGTAAGTTAATTCAGATTACTTCCTGTGAGTGCATTATGAAGCTAATTCTCCCTGGCAGGCCCACCAGGAGGTTGCACTGCTTAAAGTCAAGCATTTAAAGAAGGCCAGGGAGGGTTTTCTATAGTTCAGGCAACCAACTGGTAACACCTGCTTGGAAATTGCCAGGCCAAAATGGTTTCTGGTCTGCTATAGGCATCAAAGTGAAGGAATCTGACCCAACACTTGTCCAGACTCTTCAGTAGATTGAAAATTTTGAAAGACAAGATGCCTCTCTAATTCACACTTATGTGAGCCGGAATTTCTGAGGAAGATACTCTAAAAGGTTCACTATAGTTGGTTAGTTTTATCCATTCCTCAGCACAATACTTCAGTCAGTACTGCTTTTGGTTAGTAGGAAAACTTGCAGAAGGCTGAATAAGCTGATAAAACAAAACCTGCTTGATCATGAAATGGGTCCAGGGAACTGCAAAAACATGTGGAAGTAAAAACACAAAAGAATGAGGAAATAAGGATGAGATAGTCAATTTTTGGTGTCATCATCTTCTAGAACACAGAAAGGAAGGGCACCAATCAGAAGGCTGTCTTCAAGGACTCTACTTCTCCTTCTTTAACCCAAGGCCATTCAGTAGCCTTGAAGATGCACAAGATGGCTGAGATTGGCTTAAGTTCTGTCCTCCTGTGGCACATCTATGTTACATGTCCTCTTTCTCTGTCATTTTTCTTCTTTAATGAGCTTTCCTATCACCTTGACTTCTGTGCATATCTTGCCAGAAACAAGCAAAGAGAATGCCTTTTTTTTTTTTTGCCAGATGTAAGGACTGAGGCCAACTTAGCTGTCCTAAATTTCTGGTTACAGCAGGTTCCATTTCAAAATTTCAAAGTCTCAGAAGAGAATTCTATCACTAAATGAGATGATTGAAGGGACATATGAACTGTGTTATCTGTGGCCTGGTCGAAGTTAATTTTCATATCAAACTTACCACAGCTAGATTAGCTTACCTCCCACTAAAATTGTTCTTAATTGCCCTTTTATGGAAGATTGAAGAACGGTCTTTGAAAGACAAGTTTGAACTTTAGGGACACTAACCACTATGTCATTCAATAAATATCTGAGTAAAATTTTCATACGATGTACTTTGAGGTCCACTTACTCCATTAAATGAATCCACAATCTTATCACAGGTAGTGTTATGTTATTATCTCCTGTCCTCTGACACGGGATACCCAAACCCAGACATAAAGCATTTCTCAGGTCACTTATCACACAAATGACAGCCTTCTGTCAGAATTCAATGATCAATTTAGTTCTTATTTGTTATTGGTGGTTAGATGGTGACCTGTGGTAGGAGGCACTTAAAGGAGAGCTGGCAAGAGTTTTGCTAATGTGGCCAGAATACGTGCAGCACACAATGACACCAAAAGGTAAATTCCTAGGCAAAGGTTTCTGCAATGTCAGTGCCATATCAAACATATGAATTGTGTCCTCTCTAAAAATAATCGGAGACAGATTAAACACAGTAAATTTTCTTCATCGTAAGTGATGTAAAGAAAACAAAACCAAAATCAAAACCATAGATGACAAACATGTTCCTACTTTCGTTTGAAACACTTTTTCAAGGCTATGTTTTTGACATCTAACTTGTATCCAACCTCAATCGTAGAGGTAATGAACTTGGGAAATCCAGGGTCTTGACTGGCTCCCGGAATGTAAACTAGCATTAACATTTCCAGAAAACAAATTACTAGCCTATCTGAAACGAAAAGCAGTCAAGCACTCAAGGAAGCCGAGCTTTCTTTAGCTCTAGAGTGTAGCAATCAATTGATATTAAGGGAGATTTCTGTCATTGTCTCTCTGGAGACACTCCCTTTCCTTATTCAAGTTCTATGAGGGAATTATTGCTAGTAGGAAAGAGCTCTCTCTTTACAAGAACAAAGCCAGTTGTTCCCAAAAGAGACAGCATCTCCTGAAGGTGGAGACCCGGGTGACAATGAAGGTGACACCAGATTGCCACAGGAAAGGCAGGAAGAGCTTGTAAAGTCCTGATTCCTGCTGCGCTTGATAACAGAGCTTATTCTAAAACAGGAAAGACATTATTCTTAATTAAATGCAGAAAACAAAGAATCTGCTTTTTGAAGTTTCAAATCACAGTATTGCTTTAAAGAAATTCTTGGGGGGCTGCTTTGTGAACAAGACCATCCAGTGAAGGGGACCTGTCATTAAAATATAACAAAAAACCAAGAGTATTGCAAAGAGATAGAGCAATAAAAGCAGACAAAACCTTTTCTATTTAAATAAATCAATGGTTTTATACTTATCACAGCAACTTAAAACCTTTAAATGTTTCTGCCACTCAGAAAGCGCAATATCTGAGTATTTCACAATCCCCCCCCTCTCTCTCTCTTTCTCTCTCCCTCTCTGTCTTTGTTTCTCTCTGTCTCTTTTTCTGTGCTGGTTCTGGGACTTGTACTCAGGACTTGGGAGCTGTTCCTAAGTTTTTCTGCTCAAAACTCGTGCTTTAACCACAGCTCCAGTTTTGGCTTTTTTGGTGCTTAATTGGAAATAAGAATCTCATGAACTTTCTTGTCCATGCTGGCTTTGAACCTCAATCCTCAGATCTCAACTTCCTGAGTAGCTTACAGGTGTGAGCTATCGGTGCTCTCTGCCTGTCTCATTTTAATGGTACCTTTTGGCCTATGTTACATCAGTCTGGGTACAGTGAGAGTCACTGCTCAGGACTCTGGTACTTGTTGACCTGCTGTTCTCTTTTAATCTCTCAGTGGTAGTAGTTTAAAACCTGGTCATTTTATAATCTATAAGTCTATGAATGTCCAATTAGGCCATAAGTTCCTTCAGGGCAGAAAATAATATGTCTCTCAGTATTTCCTGGACTCCGAGTAATGCGTAGACCATAACATACTTGGTTCTTCTGAGAGTAAAATGACTGCCATTTTGAAAACATATTGTTTCCTAATCACCTTCTATTTTGATCATATTTTATAATTTTTACCAAAAACAGGCTGAAGGAAATCTGCCTTCTACAAATGGTACTGAAAAATCTATAACTTTTCATTCAGGTATGTATGAAATAGGTATTACATAACTGTTAAACATTTTATATGTCAGTTGCTTAATCTAATGCCTTGACTATCTGTAGGTTTCTAGCAGTAGATAACTTCCATTGTTAGGAAGAGGTGATACTGATCAAAATATATTGTATTAATAAGCTGCTTTGTTAAATGGTAACTCCTTTGTACAACCACCTAAAGACAATAAAAAGCTGGCAAAGCAAAAAAAAAAAAAAGGATTCTTTACAGAGTGCTGATGGCTCATACCTGTAACACAGTTACTCAGGAGGCTGGGATCTGAGGATTGTAGTTCAAAGACAGCTAGGGTAAGAAAGTCCATTAGACTCATCTCCAATTAGCTAGCAAAAAGCTGACAC